TCCTTTTTCTGAAATGTCGATATTTTCCTTTGAAAAATTCTTGCCAAATATTTTAAAAATTTCCTCTTCCTAATTCTTTTCAAAATTATTATTATTATTATTATTATTATTATTATTATTATTTTCCACGTAATTCGAAAATATTTTCTTTCGAAATTTCACGTTTTCTTGTAAATAAATTTAAATCTAAATCAGAATTTATTTTTTCAAAATTAATTCTCTTTCTGTTCAGCGTTTATTTTATTTTATTTTTATTTATTTTTTTATTTTTATTTTTTTTGAAAAAAACTTGGCGATTATCCTTATTTTTGAATTTATTGATAAATAAATAAGGGATTCCCCCCCCACCCTCCACATGCCACCACGCCGAACCAAGAACTCCCAGCGTACCGCCGACGACACCGCCGCTGCTGCCGCCGCCACCGCTGCTGCGGCATCCTCCACACCCATTCAGGCCACGTCCTCCACCCCCTCTTCCCCTGACATGGCCGCATCCTCCATCAACATGTCTGACATCCGCACCGACTCAGTTGATAGCATCGCCCGCAACCTCGCAGGCGAACAACCACCAGCAAACACCGCCACCCTCGACCTCTCCGCCATCCTCCACACACTCAACACCATCCGAACCTCTGTCACCGCCTCTCTCGATGACATAAAGGCCAACATGTCGTCCATATGTGACCGCGTCACCACGCTCGAAGGGACCATCCCCTCCATCACGGTCGTCACCACCGCGCAAACCAGTCCCTCCTCCACAGTGCAAACCACTCCAACCTCTACAATGCAAACCACTCCCTCCTCCACAGCCACCTCCAGCAACACCCCCCCGCCGACCTCCTCCACTCCTACTGCCTCTACCACCACATCCATCAACCCTTCAACCTCCACCATCGTCCCGTTCCCTCCACCTCCTCCCTCATCCGGCGCATCCAGCACACCGCCTCATTCCTCGCCCATCCATGTCACCCCTCTCCCCCCCCCGCACTCCCAAACCCTCTCCCAACCCATCATGACCACCTCCACCATCCCCACCACCCGCCCCACCTATTCCCAAGCCACCTCGGGGGTTTACCCCGCAATGCCACAACTCCCCCCCAACCACCACCTTGAGGACTACAACCAAATCGACCACACCTGCTACGACACCACCCCCGATAACCTCAGCTTCAACACCCTCTCGCAGATCGTTCACCGCGACGGGGAAATCCCTCGTTCCTTCCGATCCGGCGAAACCATGTCCTTCTCCGGCCTCCCCCACGAGGACGTTTTCCTCTTCCTAACGCAGCTCCAGAACTCTTTTCACCTCCACCACATGCCCCTTGCCCACTGGCTCCCCATTGCCACTTCCCGCCTACTCGGCAATGCCAATGCCGCCAAATGGTGGATGGCTGAAGTCAGCAACCGCCGAGCCTCTGGAGGACCACGTCACTCCTTCCTCCAATGGGCCAAACTTCTCGCTGCCACCTTCCGCCCCCAGAAAACCATTGACGACTACCTCGAACAATTCTGCCACCTCCGCCAAACCGGTCCCACAGACCGCTTCGTCCAATACATCCGCTCCCTCCGCCATCACC